GATCCTAGAGAGTAAGCAATTATTATAACCTTGTCTATGAATTCTGAATGTGAGCTAATTTCAGAAAAAGAAATCGAACCCTGTATCGTCACTTTAAATTGTTCCTAAATTGGAAATGTCAGGCCTTTTTGACAGCTGTCACTCTGAAAATGCTATTCACAAGTGACTTTAATTGGATCAAATTCAGGCTATAGATTTTTTAAATAGAAGTAATACTTTCAATGCTGTCAAAACAACTAGTTACTTGGTAGAATTTAAAAGATATGTAAACGTGTGTGTTTGTCTTTGCATGTGTGCATGTGTTCATGGGTGTTGTAATATATTGTACTTGTCCCTGAAGCAGGCCATTTTTTAAAAATTAACTCAAGTTCTTTCTTTTCTCATTGACAATGAATATACATAGCTCAGTTTCTCAAGCATCTCCCATCTTACGCTTGTAGTCCTGGGATTGGTCAGAGAAATTTTACAAAGTTTACTAATCTGAGAAATGTTTTGATTTGAGTTATGCTGTGCTAGTTGGATAGATCAATTCAGTGATGGGTCACGGAGAAATGGAGTAACCAGTCCAAAGTCACACCAAATATGACCATGTGTAATTTAAATCCTGTTTTGTTTTTTTACAGAAAGAATAGTAGACTATCTAGACATTAGATACTTACAATTATAGAGAGGATTAAATATACATTTTCAGAAGTATGTTAACAAATTCTGGTAATTTAAAACTGTTTTTTTTCACTAATATGTCAAATCTTCAAAATGGACAAAAATTTTAATAGAATTATATTTATGTTATCTCTTTCCCCTCCTCCTTCTTCCCTCACTCTCTCTGAAAACATACAAACACACATAGATATATACACACATAAATATACATTATATGAATATACAAAGTATAATTTCAATGATAACATTTTCACATAATACAACAGTAGACAGCCACCAAAATAAAGGCTATTTTCTGTAACTTTATATTGGTAATTTGTAAATTTAACTCAATGATACTGATTCTGCTCCACTTAGAATCCTCTTTGAAAATATTATGCTTTTTAGTTCTTCAAAATTCAATCTGTGTACTTCAAAATGTCAACTTCTAAAGTGTAGAAAGATGTTAATAACTTCTTTAGGTCAATAGTTTTAACTTGACCTAATACATTCAATAAATATAAACTGTTAGTAATGGTCTATACAACCCACTGCACAGCAGTGAAAGAAGTAATAAAAGCCCCTAATAAGAACCAATATATTTATATCTTACTCGACTCTGAAGAATATAACAAAATATCAAGTATTTGAAAAATATATAACTAATGTCACCTATACTCCCATTTTCCTAATGGCAGTACTTTTAGCACTATGGGGTCATTAAACTTTATATTTCAATAACTTAACTCTTAAAAATCTTGGATGGAGGATCTCATTCATTTTTATCAATTTTTTTTAATTAAAAATACAAACTTGAAATGTTCTCTCTTATACTGCATTCCCAATGACTAATTTTATAAAGGTCCTTGCTATTTCCAGTTGATAAACACATCCTAGAAGAACCAGGTATATCATCTCTACCTAAAATTTTGGCATGCAGAATGAAGTGACTTTACAATCCTATATATTTTGTAATGAGATAAAGCTATGCAAAAGTTCACAAGCTAGCTTCAAAGTATGCATTAGCAATTTTCTCTTAATGATACCTTATGAGGTTTTAGGCAAAGCTGTGACCATTTGGCTTGAAGTTATCTTTTCTGATAACATAGTGAGGACAAATTAAATGATTCAGTTCAACCACACACACTGATCCACTCAAAGTCTGATGATTGAGAAGTATGTATCTGTTAGAGTTGTGCCATATATCATATTAATTATTCATAACTATCTACTCTATTCTTCTTTTATAGATACAAGTGATTTTTACTGCCTAACTTATTATAATATTCTCCTTCAATTTATTTGCAGAGAATGTGCACATGGACTTGTCAAAATTAAATTCTGTAAAGAATAGTGCCCAACTTACTTTGTATACTGCATGCTATATTTGTGTGGTGGCTCACAGACATCATTTTAATCATACATGTTAATATTTTTATTTTCTTCTTAAAAGAAATACACATGAATATTTTTCACTGTTTAGATCTTAACTAAATATGACATTTGTGTATAAGTGGAAATTTCAATTTAATGAAACTTTTTTTCAAGGCACTATCATGGAAAATTAGCATTTGGTGTTAAGTGTTCTAAAATATGTATGGCTTTGTTGGGTACAGTTGAACATTTTGAATAAGAAAAAAGCTACCTCACAAAATTATAAATACAGTAATGATTCTCTATTGATATGTAAGCATTATAAAAACAACAGCAGACTAAAATTTATCATTCCTCTATTGTCTTAAGAAATCATTGTCTTGGGCAAATCATTCCTGTTGCTTGGGTTCATATTCCAGAGAATTTTCTCAACAAGAGAAATTTTACTCCAGGATGACCAAGAAATAAGAGAAAATTATGGTTTTCATAACAATTTATAAAAATTTGCTTTCCCTCATTTGCTATATCCACCCATCACTATGACCTGTCAAAAATGGACAGTGGTTTTTGCATGCTTATGTTTCAAAACAATTTAGTAGTCATTTAAATGTGGCTTGATTGGACCCCTTAAAATGGAAAGCAGAGTTATATTCTTAAATGGATAGCCTACCATTTTCTACTTTTTAGGATACGCAGAGTTTGGTCTACTTCAGACCATTTTAACACAACAAATTCTTTTAACATTTAACTAAATTCTTCGTTATTTATTACCTTAACACCATGTCCATCCCCAACAATGCCACTGCAACTTCATTATCATAAACTCAAATCTCATAGAGTATATAGTATCAAACTGTGTTTTTAAGCACGTTTTCACAGAATAAAGTGATTTTTTTTATCTTTTTCCAATTATGGTAATAACTAGGGTCTTTGAAAAAATAATCTGGAAAAGTTTTGGACCCACAGTTCTTAATCCAAGTTCTTTAAGAATTCACCATTCTATTACAAAAGTCAAGAGAAAATGAATGAATGGACATGGAGTTTTCCTTTCTTTTTAGATCACTAGCCTTTAAATGAATCTCAAATTATAAGAATCTAGAATAAAACAGGATGAACTTATTTTGCTAATATTCACATATCTTCTATAAGTGTCAGACTGTAATAAAGACATCTTTCTATAGACTTTTATATGAAATCTTTTATTCTCTTTAATGTTTAAGGGCAACTGCATATACAAGTATTTGGGGGAAATTTATTATCCGAGGTTACTTTTCTCATTTTCAGTCATGGACTAAAAAGGAGAAAATGAACTCTGTGAAGAATAGCTCAATATAGCAAATTATATTGAGTTAGAGATTATTTCAAACTCAGTGTATGTCTGAAAACATTTGCATCAACATCTACATTTAGACTATGTAAAGATTTGGGTATACATTATCAAAGAACATATATTTTAACTGTTATAACTAGTATTAAAAAGAGCAACGTCTTTAAATACTCATAAAAACTTTTTATTTTGAAAAAGTAAACATCTAAAATTGGATATTAAGACCACATAGCCAGAACTTAACCTCTCTTCACTCTTTTATTCCAGTAACAAGGCCCTGGCACCCACAGTCTTTGAGCTTTCTGATCAATTTTACCAAGAATAATTTGTATCCAGCATTACTTACTGACAAGTTGAAATCTGTGGCTATTTTTCTATTGATAAACATGTTCCTATAAGTGATCTTTAAAATAAATAATCAGAAACTGAGTCCAAACTTTTTCTCATGAAAATGAAGAGAGAATAACATGAAATGCCTTCATTTGAGGCAAATGACACAGAAAGGCTAGTACCCAGAACCCAAATCTCTCTTTTTTTATTTATATACATTTGCATCGCGTACTTTTGGATAAGTTTCACAAGAATACACATAATTTCTTTTGGGGATGACAGCAACACTGACAAACAGCCCCTGTCTTGCCTGTCATTATGTTACTGCTAAATCATCCACAGCATCATGACCTGATTTTAGTTTCCTAGGATATAGCCCAAAAATGAAACTTAAGTTGCATTCTGATTACATACAAAGAGCCAGCACTTAAGAAAACCCTTGAAAAGTGATCTATGTCTGATAACTAAAAAACAAACAAAAACAAGAAGGAGGAGTGGGAGAGGAAGGAAGGAAGGAAGGAAGGAAGGAAGGAAGGAAGGAAGGAAGGAAGGAAGGAAGGAAAGAAGGGAGGAAGGAAGAAAGGAAAGAAGGGAAGGGAGGGAGGGAGGACATATTTAAAAGCCTCATACAATTACACAGTAGGCCTCTGACATTCTCTATGCTGGTATAATAACTAAATGGCAGGTAACAAAAATAAAAAAAGAAAGAAGAAAGAAAAGAAAGAAAGAAAGAAAGAAAAAGAAAGAAAGAAAGAACAAACAACAACAAGCAGTTATCCTTGTGAGATCCCTGTTGCATGCTTTAATTAAAACTAAAAGTTTACAACAAAATCAACCCTTGGATAGATTGCTCTTTGGTTTAAATCTTCATTACCTTCTGGAAATTTTGGTAAAACCACTTTGCTTTTAACTTAAGCTGGCCTGTCCTTCTCTACTCCATCACAAAAGTCAAAACAAGAACCAGCTAGAAATCTTAGAATAGTTTTGTTTGTGTGTATGTGGGTTAAGTCCAATCCCTGTATACAAACTGGTTTAAAAAAAAATAGATGTTGCAACATAGTACTTTATTCCAACTTACTCTCATCCTTGAATGAACTTCCTGCAAATTTCAACCATTAAACAAACAAACAAACAAACAAAAAAGCAGTCAATTTCCTGGTTGTCGGAATTTAATTTAAGTATAACCTTTCACACCGAGCAAAACCCAAAAGCAAAAGGGTCATTCCTCTTTCTAGTGATTTAGAGACACCTCTATGCGCTTGCAAACATTCATTTACCTCTCCTTTCCCGCAGTAGAAATGCTTTTTAGGAGGATCATGGTTCATACCTCGCATTCCCTGGAGCCAGAGATGGTATATGTGCAGGGCCCAGATCCGTTAACGGATATATCCATGGTCTCAGAGTTTGTAGGCTTGTAGTCCACGTAATACTCCTGCAAGGGGGAATTCATCTGCCTCTCAGACTCCCTGGTCTTTTTCCGCCGCCTCTTCATGAGCGAGTGCTGCTGCAGCTGCTTCATGCTGGCGGGGTAGCGCTTCCAGGACACGTAGATGACCAGCAGGATCATGGCCACCGAGAGGAAGAGGGCCACGCTCCCGGCAATGATCTTGTGAAAGGACACATGCTCATAATCCTGTTCTGCACCGGGGATCGGAAATGCCGGGGAGGGGCTGGGTGTCCCCAGGGTGGGCTGCAAGGGGTCAGATTTGGAGACGGTGGGCTTGGGGATCACCAGAGGCTTCTGGGGCGTGTGGGGCACCAGGTGGGCCTTCTCCGTGTTGACCACCGGGACCTCGGAGCAGATGTTGTAGGTTTCCACCGCGTCGCTGACCTTCTCCCCCTGGATGTGCTTGGGTCCCGCACAGATCATGGTGCTCTCCTTGGTGCCTTTGAAATTCTTAAGCCAGAAAAAGAGGGGGCAGATACTCCGACTGCACTCCCACATGTTGCCGGATAGCGTGATGGATATTAAGGATATCCACGCGTTGACAGTCTCCTGGGAGATGTTGGTGAGCTTGTTGGAATCCAGGTTCAGCTTCTGCAAGTTGGGCAGGCATTTGAACGTGCCCGGCTCGATCCCTTGGATGTCGTTCCCCGATAAATCCAAGTTGTGCAAGGAACTCCAGGTCCACGTCAGGCCCTGGCTGATGGAGCGAATCCTGTTCCATTGCAAGTAGATGGAGCGCAGGTTGAAGAGCCGCGGGAAGTGGGCGAAATTGATCTTGGAAAACTGGTTGTGCTCCAGGTGGAGCTCCTTTAGCTTCAGGAGGCCCGCGAAGGCGTTTCGGGACAAGCTGCGGAGGCGATTGTAACCCAGGTCCAGGAAGTCCAGGTTCCGGCAGTCTTGGAACACTCGAATGGGCACCGTCTTTAACGAGTTGGACCTCAAGTGCAAGATGATGAGCTTCCGGAGGCCTCGGAACTGCTCCGACTGCAAAGTCTGCAGCTTGTTGTAGGAGAGGTCCAGGTTGCGGAGATTGGGAACGGGGTGGAAGGTCTTATTGTGCAGGTAGGTGATTTTGTTGGAGCTCAGAATCAATTCTTTCAGTCTGCGGATGCCTTGAAACGCATCCTCGTCCACGGAGCTGATGTAATTATGGTCCAGATAAAGCCATATAAGCTGGTTAAGGCCAGCGAACTGATTGGATTTGAGTTTCTGAATGCTGTTGAACCTTAATGACAAGCCCTGGGATCCTCCAGAGATGTTCTCCGGGATGTCTGCGAACGCGTGGGACTCGCAGTACACGATCTTGCCATCGCACCTGCAGTTCTTCGGGCAAGCTCGCTGGGCCCCCGCGAGCATCACCAGCAGCAGCGCGGAGAGGAGCGCCAGCACCGCGCGCATGCCTCGCAGCTGCGTCATGAAGCGGAAACCTACAGTGTTAAAAAGAAGACAAATGCACATTGTGAAGCTATTCAGACCGATCCTCCCCAGCTCTCCGAGATCAAGAGCATCCCATCAAGTGCAGGGTCGGGACAGCCGATCTCAGAAGCATGCCTTTCACATGGGAAGCTTCTCTTGTCTTTAGGGCTGCCTGTTTCCTAGCAGGCTTCATTCGTTCTTCCTTGCTTTTGCAATCCCCACAGAGCTGCGGACCCGTAAACAGCTCTCCCGAGTTTCAGGAGTTCATGCATGCATCAGCAGAGAAAAGCAAGGAGTCCGGCTCCTTGCTGAATGCCGACATTTTAATAACAGTAGTGTTTGGCTAGTCGGGATACCAATACCAAAAGGGGGAGTACCAAGTACTTGTGGTAACGGGAGGGGAAAAAAAGTGACTTCCTAAGCCCCCATGCGTGTACATCTTTCCTAGTTGAGTACGCAGGATGTGATTTGGCAAAGGAGCTTCCGTCCTATGTCAAGGGAATCCGAGTCTGTCCTGCCTGAAACTGTATCATTATTGCATAACAGAAAAACAGTGTTTGAGCTCTGGGAAAAAAAAAAAAAAAAGGCATTGGCACCAGCACAGGCAGCCAGGGAAGCCTGGTAGGAAGACTAATTACAGCCAAGGTACTCTCAGCATCCAGGAAGAGCTGTCCTCCGTAGCTCTCCTGCCCAGGGAGATACACACAGCTCAGGCTCCTGACTGTGGCTCCCGCAAAACACTCCGAAGTTAAGATCCTCAGGTTCTCCTTAAAATATCTGCATCAAGGTGAAAAACAAGCCCGCGTCGTGTTCGCTTTACCGTTACATTTAACAGAGTTGCTTTTGCAAATGCGGGGGGATGAACAAGGAGGGAAACGCAGGCTGCCAGACCCCTCCCCACTATCCCAGCCTGCTCAAATGCCTGACGGACTTTCCATTCCTCCCCTGCCCCCGTTAACTCCGGAAAACCCACAAAGTTGCAATCTGTGGGCACTGAGGCTGCATTGCCAAGTCATAGTATCTTAAGGGATTTCTTTCCCCCTGTCAACCGTGGATTTATTAGTTCTTCCTGGTAGGAAGAAGGAAAGGAAAACAAACAAAAAACAAACAAACAAACAAAAACCTGTGTGCTACGGTTTCAATATTTCCCTTAAATATTCATTTTTTTTAACCGAGAGAGGCAATCAGCCAAACCTCAAAGCAAAAAAACAACCTCTCCTTTTATTCAACCAGTTAACTCTTTTTTTTTTTCCTTCCTATTTGAAACCCGATCTTGCTCTCTGTCCGCTTGCCAGCTACAGGCTCATTGAAATACATTCCAGCTCTCCCAGACAGGGGAAGGGGGGCAGATGGAGGGGGGGGGGGGGGGGCAAGCCAGTCACACTTGAAAAAAAGAAGCCGGGCAAATGACTGCTGGAAATTCGGATGCCCTGGTCAGGATGCAGCTCCAGAGATCAAGCAAGCCCTTGTGCGACCTCTGAGAAAGTAAGGACCCCACCCCACCCGCCACAGACGCAGCAAAGTGTTAGCAACCCTCCTGCCGGCAGCCAGAGACACACACGCACCCGTTCCTGTTATCAAGACACAGAGGCAAACACAATGTTTATCTCATGCTCCAGCCCCAGGCTGGGGATGCGCATACGGAGGAGGCAGTCTGAAAGAGATTCCTCCCAAGTCTGGTTCAGTCTTTGCTGTGCATTGACGAATTTTAAAGGAAAAAAAAAAGAAAAAGAAAAAACTACAGAAAAGGAACATGCTCTAAAAATATAATAGCAACTAGAGCGAGTCAACTGGCAAACTCAGAGGCTGCTGCTTTCTGCCTGTTTCCCCCCTCACCCCCCCTGCCTTCTACCAGCTCCTAACGCAGCAGCAGCCGCGACTGAGCATAGCAAGCCTAGAGGATCTGCTTGGCTAAGGAAACAACAAAAGTTCACTTACCCATCCTTTGTCATCCGAAAGCGGTCCCCCCCTCTCTCAGCTCTCTTCTTAATTGGTCTCTGGTGCCGAAACCACCGCCACCTTCATGACACAGTGCGGCTGTCATTCACACCATCCCGATCCCGCATGGGAGCTGGGAGCCCCATGCAAACTTCCCCGGAGAGGACGGGCAAAAAAAAAAAAATGTATATATATATATACATATATGGAAAAAAAAATCAGCATGGGGTGGGATGGGGGGCAGGGAGAAGGAAGCTCAGGGGTGGCGGGAAGGGGATGCGGGGAGGGCTTCTAGGCTCTGAGGACCATGGTGTAATTCACCAGAGACCCATCAGCAGTAATTGGCAATCTGTGCGGAAGAGCTACAGCCCATCTTGAAGGTAACCAACTTCTCTATAAAAAGACGGAGAGAGCGAGAGAGGGGAAAAAAGAGAAGAGAAGAAAATCTTCAGAATACCTGGCATTCCTTATTGTGCTGGCTTTTGCCATTCCCAGATAAAGCAATTCATCCTCTGGATCTCCAGTTCTTGAAGCAAGTAGGCCTCCTGTGCTGTCTGAGACCCCAGTTTAAAAGCCATGCAGGCTAGGTGTATCCATTTAGCTGGTCAGGTTTAAAGTGTTTTGTAGCTGTGCTGAGAGGCAGCCCTTGTCTAATTCAGAAGGCTTTCCAGAGACTGATGATGCTCAGAGCTTGTTGGTGCTAATGCTTGAGTTTGTGATACACTGAGTGCCCTCCGCTGGAGAAAACAGATTGCACATTAAAGACGGGAACAAGTGAGCCTGTCAGTGGTGTGCAGCCTTCCCTCTCTCAGAAAGGGAAATTAAAGGCACAGGATCACTTTTTTCTCCCTCTCCAATAATATCTGTTATGAAAGGTTTGTGCAACGGAGTGCCATTGTCTGATATCAAATATTAAGTAAAACACTGCTTCTCTAAATACTATGTAATTTGTAATTTTTTTAAAAAGTTGCATTGGCCCTATTTATTTATTTCTGCTGCATATGCAGGCATCACAAGGGAATTTATTACATTTTTTTTCAACAACAGAACTAATTTGAGCTTTAGTTTTGTTGCTGTTGGTTTGTTTTATTTATTTACATTTTTTAAGCAAACCACATATAGAATCAATCTTATTTCAAGGGGGGGAAATGTAATAAAAATCACTTTTAAAGATAATTGCATGGACAAATCTTAGGTCTAATTTTTAGATTCCCAACTTATGGTAATAAAAAATAAAATCTGTAATTTTGTGCATTGCATTGAATATTCTAGACTATTACTTTGTAAAAGTGTATATTTTTAATCTTAAGTCAGTTATCTTTTAGAATGTGCATTTCTATTTTAAAAAGCAAGTATGTTCTAGATCATTGTTGTATTTCTTTAAAAAATGTGCAGAATATCCTCTGTATTAGGAGGGATGAAATGATAAAATATCTTAGATATGTATTTTTAAAAATCTATACACTATATTTGAGCCTGAACTGAAGTTTCAAAAAATAATATAACATCACACTTCTATTTGGTTATCTTCTTTACTTATTTATTTCATAATCCTCTGGCTAATAATTTTGGAACAATACAGAATCACCAATGTAACACAGAGAAAGACTGCTGGATAAGTTTGCTAACCTAATTTACCATATGTGAAAAGTTTAAATGATTTTACATAAACAACTGGAATTACTGAAAATAAATATTTTTACAAATACTTCTTAGTTTTAGATTATCTTCCAAAATATTTATATGTGGGAAAGGCTTATCATATATGTAACAAACAAAAATATTGACTCAGATTTAATAGTGTGTAGTGACAGGCAATTATCCAAATACTAGGTTTTCTGAAGAAGAAAAAAAAGATAATATCTAACCCAAGTATATTGCTTTTTCATTAACTGATACCTGAATTTCTATTTTAAGAATGTTTACATTTGGGCCAAAACCGGTTTGGCTCAGTGGATAGAGCGTCAGCCTGGGGACTGAAAGGTCCCAGGTTCGATTCTGGTCAAGAGCAGGTACGTTGGTTCCAGGCACATCCCCAGTAGGGGTTGTGCAAGAGGCAGCTGATCAATGATTCTCTCTCATCGATGTTTCTAACTCTCTATCCCTCTCTCTTTCTCTCTGTAAAACATCAATAAAATATATTTTAAAAAAGAATATTTACATTTGGTTTCAGGATTAATACTGGTTGAAATGCAAATGCACACCAAAAGAGGCAGTATTATTTGGTTAACGAAGGGGATATATCTATCTACAAAAATAAACATAAGTAAAACACATATAATTTGTTCACCATTGTGTAGTTCATATAGAAACAAAACCCCACCAAAATATTCAATAATAGAGGATTAATTCTGAAAAAAAAAAAAACAAGGGAAAAAAAAAAAAACTCATGAAATGGAACACATGCTGCCATTAAAATTAAAATGGTTTATTCATGCTGAGAGGAAAGGATGACCACAACTTACAAAGTAAGAAAAGAGGGAAAGAGAACACCAGTGAAGGAGAGTCTATTGCTCTACACGTTTTTGTTTGCATTGGGAAAGGGAGCTCCCAAAGTGAAAGGGAGCTCATTTAAATGGATTTTACATAAGCAGCTAGAATTACTGTGCATCACCAAAAATGAATATTTTTAGAAATACTTCCTGGTTTTAGACTATCTTCCAAAATATAAGTTAAGGGGGAGTACCATATGTGTAACAAATAGAATTAGTTTTTATTTCATCTTTTATGATTTTTTTCTTCTACATTTAAAATTGTTAAATATGATGAATATATGGTGCCTATATGTACCAAACACATACAGACATGTGAATGAATTTTTCTTTGCCTTAATATAAGATATGAGAAGAGCTTTTGATAGTGGATTGGAAAAAAACACACACACAAATGACATTACCCACATTTATGGTATAAACCTGCATACATAGAAGTGTTGTTTGAAGTACCAAAAGCTAATAGATAATGTATTTTAAAGTCATCACCAGATCATATGTAGAATGTATAAAAAATGATGTCAAAAATCAGTTACAGGTCCCTTGAACACACTGTGAGGACATAAGAGGGTCAAGAGATTACAGAGTGACAAATGATGTTCTGTGAAGATTTCTAGATATTACTTTCACACACACACACACACACACACACACACACACACACACTCACCCTTCCAAAGGATACATTTTGGAAGGAGGGAGAATGTCATCTACTACGTTTAATTGTAGTGAATGGGACTTCTATGGGCTACTTGAACATGATATGTGTTTCTAGCAGTGAGCCCAGTACAATAGAATATTATCTGATTTCTGTCTGGGAAATCCAGGAGATAAGAAGAAATAATACTTTCACCAATAAAGATTTTTTTTTTTAAACAGAGGAAGAGATGGGTGAAAAAATAAAAGGGAGAAAGAAGAGTAAAACTTGTGTTGAGATTGGCTTTTGGATTTCACTTGTAGAGTTTATCTGGATAAAAATGTGCACAAGTGTTTTCCATGGACTAAAGGAGAAGTATGTGGGAGAGAGAGGGATCTTGGTGTTGTTTTCATTCCTAAGGAGAACAGAAAAGGTCTATATGAGTACACTGCCCAGACAGACAGAGGGTAACAACAACAACAACAGAACAAATCAAGTTTGACAAGCATCACATGGATGAAAAAGAAAAAAAAAGAGTCATTCTCATCATGGGAAAATTGACCCATTATTTCTAATGGGGAAAAAGGGGGAATATCAATGAGCCCATAAGAAACAGAAATACCTTTGGCATCTTCTAGGTGCAGACATCTCAAACCTTCTTTACAGTAGTTCCAGTTTTACAGCCATGAAGTTTCCTGGTCGTCAGAAACAGCAATGAGTAAGTGTGAGAGGAGGTAGGAAAGAATGAGAAAAGCTGGGGGACATCTGTAATAGTGTCAACAATTAAAAAAAAAATGAAGAAAGCTAACTATGCTTTCTCTGTTTTCTATAGCAGATGGGTCACTTGCAACTGGTCCAACATTTGAACACGGGGAGAAGGTTTGAGCTTTATATAAAACTAGAGACCTGGTGCACAAAATTTGTGCTTGGGGGAGGGTCCTCTCAGCCCAACCTGCACCCTCTCCAATCCAGGACCCCTCAGGGGGGATGTCTGACTGCCAGTTTAGGACGGACCCTGAGAAAAGGGCCCAAACTGGCAGTCAGACATCCCTCTCACAATCCTGGACCACTGGCTCCTAATCGCTCACCTGCCTGCCTGCTGGTTGCCCCTAAGTGTTGCCCCTTGTTGGCCTGATTGCCCTTCACTGCCTCTGCATGCCGGCCTGATCACCCTTAACTGCTTCCTCTGCTGGCCTGTTGCCCCTAACTTCCCCCCTCCCACCAACAGACTAGTTGCCCCAACTTCCCCTTTTGCTGGCCTAGTTGCTCCTCACTGCCATGCCCACCAGCCTAATCTTCCTCCAACTGCCCTCCCCCTGTCAACCTGGTTGCCCTTAACTGCCCCCTGGCCAGCTTGGTTGCCTCTTATTGCCCCCCTGCTGGCCTGGTCGCCCCCAACTGCCTGCCCCATCTGGTTGCCCCTCACAGCCCTCCCCTCTTCCCCCTCCCCACTGGCCTGGTTGCCTCATGCAGCCTGCTGTTCAGTCCTTTGATCATCCCTCACTAACCCCCCTGCCAGCCTTGTCACCCCATGCAGCCTGCTTGTTCAGTTGTTTGGTTGTCCCTCACTAACCCCCTTGCTGGCCTGGTCATAGGCAGCCATCTGTGAGGGCATGATGATTAATTTGCATATTAACTCTTTATTGTATAGGATATGAGCTATTGGCTAATATAGTAAATTTAATACTTCCATTTACTAATTTTAGACATTATGAACTAAGGCTAAAATAAGATCTTTTGTTACCTCAAAGCATTTACTGATCTCACCTTGGTAACTTAAAATTGACCATGGTAGAAAGATTTTACAATAAATAGAATGTTTCATTTGTTCTATTTTCCAAAGATTTTTCATACATCATGGAAATCAGCAAAATCTAAGAATGAAGGTGTGATTCATTTCCTGAGTGTCCAGACTTAAAGAAAATGATGAAAACAGTAATAGGAATTAAACTTAAAAGTATGCTGCATCTGTAGCTATTTAATTATAAATAGCACAAAAATTGAGAATTGTATTTTGCAGTATCTGAAAACTATTATGTGGACTGAGTAAAAAAGTCACTCATATTGCCCAGGCTGGTGTTGCTACATGGTTAGACTGTCAGCCTGCACACCGAAAGGTCATGGGTTTGAATCCTGGCCGAGGACATGTGCCTAGGTTGAAGGTTCTATTTCTGGCCTTGGTTGGAGCATGTGTAGGAGGCAATCAATGGATGTCTTTCTCACCCCCACTCTCTTTCCGCCCCCGCTACCTTCCACTCTCTCTAAAAATCAATGGGGAAAAAATATCCTTGGATTAGGATTAACAAAACAAACAAACAAATGTCACTCATGTCATTAACAAATGAGCAAAATGTCAATATATGTCTGTTATTTCACTTTTGCTTTACTCATTAATGCAAACAAAAATATCACATAGTATTCATGTGTGACTAATACTGACCTAGCTGGTTGTTAAAGAGTACACCAGTCTATATATTTATTGTCCCAAAAGCAAACTAGTCTGAACACTTAAAAGCTAGTGCTAACCTAGTTTTAATGAATAAATTAAGTAGTTAATCAATTGCTATGATTACAATCATTGTCACTGTCAGTACCCTCAATACATTCTTTCCTAAAATATTGTTTTTCC